TACCAGAGTTCTAGTAGGGACTGAGCCTTACACAATCCTGAAAAATATAGTATTTTATTTCAATTTTTAAGTTTAACATTTAAAAACGAATTTTTAGTTGAATTTTTATATAATAATAATAATAATAATAATTCATTATTAAAAGCGTTATATGTATTACATTTTTTTTTAAGAAATAACTAAATTTTAAAAGATTATTAATTTGAAATCGTTGAAAATTATTTTCTTAATTCCTGTGAATAATTTAAATTTAATTGTTCACTCTTAAAATAATTGTACTTTTTATAGGATAAAAAAATTAAGAAAATAATTGAATTTTTTAAAAATTTAGAAGCAGGATTAGAATAAAAATAAATATTTTTGATTGCAATCAGAAAGCAGTGAGGGAAATACTGAATCAACTAAAAAATATTTTTTCGGATTTTTATTCGTTAAAATTAATTTTCGATTAGTACTTTTTTCAGATATTAAAGTATTTTGATACATTTTTAAAATTAATTATTGAGTGTGAAGGTTTTTTTTACCTTTGCGAAGTTAAGGAAAAAATACACAAAGAAAAGGGTAGAAATAAATAACAAGAAATTTTTTTTTGCACGTATAAATTTGGATATTGTTATACAACACGTTGAGTCTTTAGGTACAGTGATACGTAGACGTTAACAGTCTGATCGTGTATGAAAAAACAGTCGTTACAGAATGAATAAATAAATTTATTGCTGTACAACGACTTGATTTTAATTTTCGAGCTTTAATTTAAAGACTCTAGCACCCTTTTTCATTCAATCGACTTTTTATCTCTTGTTTCTGTCATTCATTGCAATTTGATAAAGAAATACAATCTTTTTTTTTATACACGTGATAAATTATTTTCTCACAATAAATGTTTTTGTAAGATTCGTTTCTTGTTACAAGAGCGGAAAATAATTAATAATTAATAATTAAAATTAGTGGGATTTGCTTATAATAACTTAAAGTTTGTAGAAAGTAATTCTTTTAAATTTATAATAATGATACTTAATCGTAATAAAATTAGTAAAAATTTAATAAATACTTAGGCTGTGTTTTGACTCTTTCTTTTCAATCAAATTTTCGTTTAAAATATTGTCCTGTGAATTTATAACATGAAGTGGAAATACTCGTGGTTTTTGGATTTTTTTTCCAGTTCGCTTATTGGTGTTTGGACGAGTATAATGAATGTAATATGATGTATATCCCAGATAAAAGTTTTTTTTGCATATTCAAGAAATGTCCCAGTTCTTTCGTCATTTTAACTTTCAGTTTATTTTTCTTGTTTTTTTGATTAATGGAAAAATTTTTATTGAAATAGAAAATTTTGTACAAATCCCTCTTCTAATGAGGTGTAAAGAAATTTTAGTTTAAATACTTTCTACTTGTTTAAATTGTCTAAAAAAATTTCTACGATATTGAAATATTGAGAGTGAGGTACTTTGGACTTTTTTTGAAAGTTTTTTTTAAATGAAAGCATTTCTACTAGAAATTTCTTTTTTACTTTATTGGCTATTGTTATTTTAAAGGCAGACAATTTTTCTTTAAATTTGCAAAAAATTCTTTGGGATATTTATTCTGTGCGCGTCTATTTTGCGACGCATCGCAGTACCATATATTCAAAATAATAACTTTGTACTTATGATTATTATCTTTTCTACGATATACATTTACATTTATTCTAATTGTTCTAATACCTACGGTGTATAAACAGAGGAATCGCTCGCCTATTTTTTTTTCTTGCACAAAAACTCGTGGTCTTTGTGACACATTAACAAATTTCATAAAATGTTGTTCCAGGCGGATTCTTATACATTTTTTGGTTCTTCTTATTTAAGAGCAAAAAGCATATTTTAACTTAATAGCAAAATTACCAAAATGGTATTTTTTTAACATCGAAAAGAAAGATTGAAAGGAATAATAAATGCCTTTCAAGTTACTAGAAAAAAATTCCAATTTTATCACATTTTTTTACATTTGGTATTCAATATTATTTTTTTTTATAAGTAGTTCGAGTTTTGTGCTGATTGAAATTATTAAAAATTAGAAAATTGTAATTTTTCTTTAGCATTTTTTGTTAACAACTGAAATAAATGGAAATAAATTTTTTTTTATAGAATAGAGAGCAGAATTTGCATTTTTTTTTTGGTTTACAAAATAGATATTTTGCTAAATTTCTATATGAAAACGTCAAAATTGAATTAAATCTAAACGTGCAATTATAAAAGGTGCGCCAGGACATCTTCAATGGACGCATACATGCATTCTTTCTCTCTTATTTTCTCATCCTATTCACTTTTCTCTGCTTCACAATTTTCAAAAATTTATCACTATACGATAATGAAAAAATTTTATCACCTTTGCAAAAATAGTTTAAATTTTCTAAAAATAATAATTACACTTCTTATTTTTATTTTGTATAATACTGCTTTACTCCTCCTTAAAAATTAATTTACTCTGTTGAATGAAGAAATTTTTTATTCTCAATAATTTAATTAAATCATTATGTTAATTATTTAAAAATTTAATGCATTTTCGAAAATAAATGTAAAAATAAATTTTCATAATTTTATACTGAAATAAAAAAAATAATTGTATAACAATCTAATTATTCTAATTTTAATTATTTTTATTTGAAAGTAAAGGCATTGAAAAAAAAGTTGAATAATACTGACAAATAAAAAAAACCACGAAAAATTTTCTTAAATATTTTTTTTCGTCATCGTTGTTTATGTTTAAAAAAAAAACTTCCGCTTTTTTTCTTTTCTTTGGACCCAATTGAATGCCCGTCCAGTATGGTTAATCGTCGCACCTTCTTTCGTACACAATAATTGCTGCAATTTTTTAACTACAAATTATCCATTATATAATCGACAAAGTCTTCGGTCGAACTACATTTCTTTTATTTTTTATTTTATTTCATTTTTTTTTTTTGATTTTTTTTGCCGGGGGCGAGGGTAACAACATTAACGCCAACGTGTAATTTATTCTAAAAACGACATTTCTTTTTAATGCATTTCTTCTAAAGCACTAAATGAAGGAATGATTAAACTGAAATCATTTACTTTCATCGCACCTGAACTTGATACTTTGAAAATAAGGCACAACAATTTTCGACTCATATTGTTGGAGTGAAGTTTTTTTTTCTTTTTTTTACAAGAACAACAAATATTTATATTCTATTTATTATTTTTTTTTTATTATTATTCTCAGTGAAAAGACAAAAATTTTATTTTGCAAATAGAATTTATTAAATTTTGAATGTAGAAATGGAGCTTTTAATAATATTAATATTAATAGTAAAGAATAAGACAATTGAATATTTTAAAAAAATTTATAAATAAAAAAAATTACAAATTTTAATAAAATAAGTTTTGAATTACGATTAAGTGGCGAATAATTATAAATTCTGTCCTCTCTTGAGAATAAATGCGTGACACGCTCTGAAGAAAGGAGAAGCACAAAATTTTAGGTTATGTTAGTAATTTTTAAAATGAAAATACAAAAGGAATCAACTCTTAATATGAAGCACTGATATTTAAGAATTCTCTGCACTTAAAATAATAAAAACTGATTTTAGTATTAAACAATTAAGGAAACTTTTAATTAAGATAAAAATAACACAAACATAACCTTAAAATTTTTTTCTAGTTCTTTCTTCATTGTTCGTCGTCACATATCAGCAACAGTTCATTGTCTATTATTAATGCCGGTTTAATTAAACTGGAATCAATGGATATGAAATTGTGCCATATAGTAAAATAAATATTAATTTCTTTTTGTCGAAAAAAATTCCAAAAAATATTAATTTTCATCAAAAAGAAATAATTTTATTTTTTCAATTAATTTCTTTCAAATAATTTCTTTATATTTAAGATATATTTTAAAGACAAATAATTTACGACACGTAGGCTTCTTAAAATTTTTTTAATACTTTTCTTTTTTTTTGCAAATTATCATCATCTACTTACAATCTTCTTTTATAAAGAAGTCTGAAAAAAATTTTTTTTTCTCAACCCCCAAAAATGTTTTCAAGAATTATCATTAAGACAGTGTCGAAGAGCAATTTTTCCTTTTATTTATTCAATTCAATAAAAAAATTGAATATATAAATTTAATTGTATTATATAATTATTACACAATTTGTCAATTGAATAAAATTATATAATCTATAATTTCAAATCGAACAGTCTTTTTTTTCTAAACAATCACTTTAAGACGAATTTGTATTCTTAGTTATAAGTCTTATTTTTCTAACTTCATTAAATGAGCACAAAAATGATATTGATCATTTCAATGAAGCATCGAGTATAATTATTTTTTTTTCTTCACGATAAATTTGATATAGGGTGACGTATTTCCTATTGAAATTGACTGGTGACGATTTGATGAAATTTTTTTTGTTTTTTGCAAAGCAAGGATTAAAGCTTTTTTTACATATAGGAAATAGATAAAAATAATTATGGGAAGATAGAATTTTTTTTACAATCATGTGACAAATAATGAATTTCTTATTTTTAACTGTTTTTGAAAAACTATTCTTTCATTTATTATTTTGTAAGAAAAATTGATATTTTTTTGTCTATAACTAATTTTTTCTTTACTAATATTCTAAATTTGAATTACAAATATAAAGTAAAAATTTTTACTTTATCTTCCGATTGAATTTTCGTTTTCTTTAATAAATTATTCGTTTAAAAAATTTTCCTCTTGTCTCAACGCGTTGAATTTTTGTTTGTTTGTTATTTGTTATGAATAACGAATGTTAATTTTTTTTCTAAATATATTACAACTATGATTCGATTGTACAAAAATTTATTAACTCGTGTTGAAAAAAGAACTGTATGTATTTATTTTTATATCGTAAATTATTACAATTTTCATTGTATTAATATAATATATAAAAAAAAAAAAAAAAAAAAAATCTTTACTCTATTAATAATTATAATAAATTTAGAATAATAAAATTAATTATAAATAATGTTAATATTTAAATTTGAGTAAATTGTAAAGAATAACGAATAAGTTTAAAGAAGGAGTAACTTTTTTTAATTAACACAAAGGGTAAAAATGGCGATTTTATTGTCATTCGTCAGTGATCCGTCAGAATTATTATTATTTCAATGGTTTCTATTGAAACATTTATTAATTATTAACATTAGTAAACATTAATAACGAAGTCAACTACTGTTTTAAATTGTAATATCAGTCATTTTATTAACATTTATTCATTATTTATTGTTTCCTTGTCCAATCACTGTTTAATACTAATTACTATTTTATGAACTTGTTTTTTTTAATTGTAAATAATTAAATTAATTTCAATTACTTGTTAGCCATAAATCAGCTTTTTTCGAATATTTTTCATTTTTTCACTCTTTTCACTCTTTTTACTTTAATCGAATTTGAAAATTAATTAATAATTTAAGAAAATAAAACTCTTTGCCATACTTTTCTATATTCAAAATTAAGTCTTATTTGAACAGTTTCAATGACAAATTTCTAGCAGCAAAAAAAAACAACTGCTGACTAAAATTCAGTTGAAAATTCAAAAGACATTTCCCAAATTTAATTCATTTTTATCTAGTTCTTATATGTACGCCTTTCATTTTTTTATTCTCTCGTAAGACTGCCCCGCCTTAATTGAATGAATCGGATTTTTTTTTTGATTCTTAAATCGGGACATTAGAGTGTGAATATCATTTTGACATTTATTGATATTTTTTTAAGGACTCTAGAGACTCGATGGCGAGTCAAATTTTTCAAAGAGTCGATCCCCTGTGTTGTCCTAAAAACGCATTAACAATCAATGAACAGTGTTTTTTTATGTAGTTTTACTTTTCCCTCTGACTTTAGAGAAAAGTTTTTTCATTTTAAGATCGTATTCTTTTTTTTTGTCATTTTTATTTATAAGAACCGATTTTTTTTATTAATCTATTTAATCGGTTGTCAAACAGATTCCTCGGTTATTGATTTTGGCAACACCATTTTATTGCTGAAAATTAAAAAGTTCTGCAATTTTAAGAATGAAAGTGATAAAGCGAAACAATTTTAAAAATCGGGTTTATTAATAAATTAGTTTTGCACAAGATGCAAGGTTTTTTTTTATAATGAAAATATGTTAGTAACAATTTTCTAAAATTCTGTACGGTTATGTATATTCTGATATATGAGAAAAAATTATAAATCTAGCTTTGAAGATAGCAAAAATCGATCGCGATTAATTTACCGATACTTGATAATAATATTTTTATACTAATTGAAAAAATTTTTTTGCTATTTTTACCATTAGTCGGTAATACAGATTTCTTTAATGGCCCATAACCATCTGTCGGTAATTTATACCTCTTGTTTTATCGACACTCAACTAGATTACTAGAAATCTACATTACCGATCGATATTGAACTGCCCTAATTTAACGACCGTACTAATTAGTGCCTTATTACCATCGGTCGGTAATATATAATCGACGAAAAAGATCCGAGCTGTCGCATGTCGATTAGAATATACATAACCATATAAAATTGATCCCCTAAGTCTACATGAAAATGAGACGCATTGAGGTGTATGTAAAATTAATTAAATTTGACAAAATAAATAGAATCGATATAAAAGTCGACAATTCCCAGAGACAAGAATTGTAAAAAAACTAAAAACACAAAATGAAAATTACTTAATACAATAACTGAAGGATGAATCTTGATAAATTAAAATTTAAATAAGCAAATTTCATCTCTTTAGTGAATATTTGTTTTTTGAACTAAAATTGGGCTTCAAACGGTTTCCAGTAGAATTTAAATTGAACTTAATTAAGGCGACTAAATTTCTTTTTCAATTATTTAATAAAAGATTTTTAAAAAGTGGGTATAGTTTTTGTCTTAACATTATTTTCGCTTGTATATGAATGAGTTATGATATTAGAGCGAATGCAATACATGAAGCAACAAGCATGATGGCTTGACTTATTGTGTGTGATATAATTTGAGTCTAGCCCTACCAACAAGATATTTTACTTGGCGACGCCGGATATCCTTGAGTCGTCTTGCATTTCAACCACAATTGTGTCAGGATCCGGTACCCTATTTGCTGAGATGCATCCATTGGCAATAGTTGTTGGCAGGATAGTCTCAGACTAAAATTAATAGATTGCAACTGTAGTGGAGAAATTAATTTCACGGAATGGAAGGAAGGGATTTATTGGTAATTTAATTTTTTTAGAGGAGGGAAACGACATTGAGATTGTGAAGCAATTGTTTTTTTGGCTTTATTAATAGTGATAGGTGAAGGCCACAAAGAAATTAGGGACAAGTGATGACTATAAAAAAGAATTGACCACTTTACGAGAAGGACAATTGATGACTTTGCGAAAAAGGACAACTGACCACTTTAGAGGACAAGTGGTCACTCTCAATTGTTTTTATTAAAAAATAATTTGCTTTAGATTTTGTTATACAGATTTTGTTATATTCTGTAAAAAAAACAAGTGTTCACTTTGGACTTTGACATGTTAAGAAGACAAGTGGTAACTTTAAATTTAAACTGACCACTTTGAAAAAACAAGTGATTGTTCTTAATTTTTGGGGTAAAATGATGTACATTGACATATTCTTTACAAAAGACAAGTGATAACTTTACAACAAACAAGTGACCCCTACCAATTTGGAAGTGAACACTTGTTTGTTGTAAAGTTACAATAATAAGTCTAATTATTATCAAAAGGACAAGTGTTAACTCTCAAGATCTGAGAAATTATTTGGAAATAGTCTTTTTCTAAAGAAGCTGTGAAGACAAGTATCAATTTTGCCTTGTAACGACTACTTTAAATTTGATTTCAAATTATTTACATAGATAAATATTTATTTTTACTTTTGGAAGCCTTTATTAGTTTGTTGATTATGGAGCACTATTTGGAGATTCCCCCCATAAGTGTCAATGCACCTGACCATTTGTCGCGGTACACTTTTTTTGTCGATTTGGATCCTTGTCGGTATGGTAATGCTATGGGTCGGATAGAAAACTAAGTTGATCATTAGGGTTTTTGCAAAACTGCATTTTTCAAAGGAATTGTGTTCTTTATCCAGAACATAAAATTTAATTAAAATTTACTTATGGAAATGATTGAAAAGAGTATTTTTACTAACTTGATATGCTGCGGCATCCAGGGCCATTAATTCCTTTTTCGATAAATGTTCTACAACGGCAGCTGCGTAACAATCTCCTAGCATGTTATTTGTTGTCCTCACTCGATCTCTGTAATTAATTATTGGAAATTTAGTTCTTTCGAGAGGATGCAATATTTTATCAAACGTAGGAAGTACATTTTAAGACTTAGAATATTATTATTTTGACTTAGCTAGGTTTGACAAGTCTGCCAAAGAGAATAGTTACAGAAAGTAAAGAGAAAATATTCAAAGACGAAGTTGTATTTTATTACTTACACAAACCAATCAATGGCAAAGAGAAGAGAAACGTCTTGTACTGGTGCATCAATGGCACTGAGGACAACTAGAAGTAAAACCAACGCTGCGCTTGGTACAGAAGCAGAAGATACCGATGCTGCAGTCGAGGTTAAGCTGCAATTAAAGAATTCAATTAATTCAATTAATTACCTGAAGTTAAAAAGTTCGGAAGTGACAATAAATGAATAAATACTAACATGACAGTGATAAGTTCTCCAAATCCAAGAAAAATGCCATTCATCTGAGCAATGAAGATGCTTGCAACAGCCACAAACATGGCAGTACCATCCATGTTAATATTGCATCCAATGGGCAAAACGAATCTTGTGACCCTTGGGTCAACCCTCAATTTATCCGTCATCAGTCGAAACGTCACAGGAAGTGCGGCAGCCCTGTGCAAACCTCGATTAGAAAAAATCACGAAAATTCCTTTCGTTAAATTAATAAGGATGAGGCTTCCTCGTACACGTTGCACACCGCTTCCGGTCATTCTGGCCATTTATAACTATTTATTATATATTCTCAAAAGTGAATCAACAAATTACTCAAAATATTGATATTCTAACTTTGAATTCTCTCCAAATTTTGTATCAAAGATTAGACTAATAAAAAGTGTGCGCAAGAAAACTTGGGGCCAAATTGTGTAAAGAAAGAAAAAGTTGATTTTAGCAAAAATTTTGTTTCTCAGCCAGAATGACCAAATTGTGGAAGGTACTGAAAATTAAATGCAATAATTAATTTGTCGATTCGATAGTGGGTTGTCGTCCTCATTTATTAAAAAAAAATTTACAAGTCGATTCTGAAACAGAAAATTTCACATCTTCGTTTGCGGCCATCGTTACTTACCAGGACCCCTAAAGAGAATGGACCACCTGCAAAAGGCCGCGTGCCGCGCGTTCTAATACATCATCATGATATCAAACAGTGAGACAACACTGTTGAGACACACAGTCTCTCAGGCACAGTATAACAGAGTATTCTTTCTGGAAAAAGTTAATCCACACACAAGAAATTTTTGAATTAATGTACCTTGCTTGCTGTGGTTATAATAAACTCTTCGACTCAAAGTTTTTTTTTTTTTGCAAATACCCTCCTCCGATCAAAATTTACGAAAAATCTACTGTCGTCTTTTGTCCTTCAATCAAGTTGGGTAACAAAATTTTATGTGAGAATCAATAAAAAATTTCTCAGTAGTGGTTTCCTGGATTTCCATTCTCGGGACTTCTGTCTCCTCCGGCGAAAATTCTCCCGTGGTATATAAAGGTACTCTATGTTTAAATCGTCAGTTTTTAAACGAAAATTCTAACAGACGTCATTCCTGAACAGTCTTGTAGTTTGGGTATTTTAATTAGTTGCTCCTTTTTCTGAAACTGTCGATATAATATTTCTTCGACCATTTTGACCGGAGGTTGACAATTCCGTGAAAGATGATAAAAAAATATTTTTCTTTATCAATTTGTTCCAAAAAAATGATGATAATTTAAAGGGATTGAAAAGGATAGGATTTAGACGGACGAAATTGCGTATTTATAAGTTCTTTTTTCTACTTTTAAAAATTATTTGTTTAGATGTAGTTGGAATGTGGGTTTAGTTTTTTAGAGAACGCTTACTGTTTTAATCACTCTTCAACTGGGAAAATAATCGTTCGTACGCAAAAAAGAAGAATTAGAGAATTATTAAAAAGAGATTCGATTAAGATAATTAAAAGTAAACGTTCCGCTCGTTCCATTCTCCTCTTACTGGACATCCTCCTCATCATCATCATCATCATCATCATCATAATTCCTGCAAGAATGAAATCGACGCGAACAAACGATATTTTCCCAGTTCATCATCGATCATATAATTATTTGAAAGACTTAAAAACGACATTTTTTTTATTAAACTGGAAGCCTCTTCCTGCCACCTATCAAATTGGCAGCAGGATGACGAGGTGAACCTTCTAGGCTTCCACACTTTTCAGTCCAGCTAACACGGAGTCAGTCGACTCGCGATGTTACTTTACCAATTCTGGTTTCGTAACTCGCCTCAGTCATGTAATTTGTCATCCATATTTTTAGATTCATAATTCACTTTGGTTTTTCTATTTGAAGTCAAGCATTATTTTATTGCGTTATTGTTCTGTTACGTAAAACTGGACTCTATATTCTTTTGCTAATAATTTATTTAGAACTTTTTTGATTTGAGTTTTAATTACAATTAAATAGAAATCACCAAATTAATCTTAGTGATTAAATTAATTAAACCACAGAACGAATTGAATTATTTGATCTCTTAAAGAAATTCCAGAACAGTTAGAATTTAATTAAAATTTTTAGCTTTAGAAAAAAGGTTCATTCTATTTTCTGCATAAGAAGTAAAATATATCTTCAGTTAATCTTTCCATGGCTCTAAACTCTTGACTAATTTTTAAGTACGTTTGGGGTAATTCTACTTTCTAGGGTAACAATTTTAAAAAGAAAAATTTCAAAGAAGAGTCCAGTTTTGTCGAGATGACCATTACATTACTGATTTAATATTCATTTTGACTCCTATTGAATAGGATCGAATATGGAGACGACATCCTAAGTGCCAGCCGGGCTGCATACCTCTCTCGTGTTCTCTGGGAGATGGCAAACTCCCATGGTGAGCAATGCGAATGCCTGGGAGGGTTTTTCGTTAGTGATAGACAGGATCAGACCAATTTTCACAGCAAAATGCAATGAAAACAAATTTTCATTGCAAAATTAAATTTTCCCTCTGTTATTTATTTTGTTCGTACGAGAATAGTAAAAAGAAAGCTGTGAAAAAAAGTCCATTCGATAACTGGAATGGAATTTAAGGACCGCCATGGCCTCGCAAAGCCTCCTCTTGGCTGGCTGAAACATACTCTCTCTCATCAATCGTCTCTTATGGGCACACTTCAGCGTGTACTCCGAGAGGACCAAGGAAAATTAGACCGGGGATTTTAAAGAAAAAAACTTTTAACGAAAAATTGAATTGACTAATTCAAAACAGAAATTAAAATTATAGATCTTGATTGAAAACGGATTCAAAAAAGGAAAAATTAATTACAATTCGAAAGAAAAGTATTGCTCGTTGATAAATTAATAAATAAGGAAGAAATACAAAAGTAGAAGTTTATGGAGAAGATAAATTATAGAAGTATATTGAAAAGAAAAAGAATTTAATTAAAAAGACTTTGTGACGTGGATTTAGTAAAGGAGTGATAGAAGCAAAGGTTAGATTAGAAAAGTGTTAATGAAGATTAATTAGGGTCATCAATGAAAAGGAATGATAATTGTTTTTTTGAAGAGGTGTTTGGGGTGTCTTTTTTTTGGTGAAAAGTGGAGGATAGAATCGAGGCCCTGAGAGGTTTCGGCGTGATGGTATCGAAGGCAGGATGGGAACCGAAGGTCGTCGACTCACGTTGATGCCATGGCGAAGGCGGTGAGAGTACCCTGCGCGAGGCCTGTGTAGAACTTAAAAGGATTCTTCCTCACGATCGACAAATAGATCAGCTGCATGAACACCAACTGATATAAGAAAACTCCAATCACAATCGTCACAATGAACCATGCCAATTGAGACATCACTAGACTCAAGTCATTCACTCCTAAAATCTTGCCAGCGATCACAGACGTTATTCCAATCGGAGTCATCCTGTAAAGAAAAAAGTTTGTTTAGGGTTTTGGGTGTTTTTTGGATAGGAGAAGTTATGAAGATTATTGTGAATGAGAAAAGGTTTGTTTATTAAAAATAGTTATGCAAAAATTAGGCAAAGAGACTTTATATTAGGGAGACAACTGACAACTTTAGAGAACAAGTGATCACTTTTAATTTTCTTGGTAAAAAATGATGCCCTTTATAAATTTTTTATAGTCTGTAAATTATAACAAAAATATGATTGATCAACTTTACGAAAAAGACAAATGGTGACTTTGTAAAAAGAACAACCGACTACTTTACGGAAAGGACAAGTGATGACTTTGTTAATAGGACAATTGACCACTTTAAGAAAAGACAAATGGTGACTTTGTGAAAAGGACAATTGATCATTTCACGAAAAACACCAGTTATGACTTTATAAAATAGACAATTAACCACCAGGAAAAGACAAATGGTGACTTTGTAAAGAGAACAACCGACCACTTTACGAAAAAGACAAGTGATGACTTTGTAATAAGGACAACTTACCACTTTAAGAAAAAGACAAATGGTAATTTCATAAAAGGGACAACTGACCACTTTACGAAAAATACAAGTGATGACTTCGTAGAAAAGAAAATTGACTTAGGTTTTTTTAAGAGTTTCCCAAAAGTAAATGGAGCTTTTCTGAATGATAATGTCTGCACTAAGGTTAAAAAGTTTCCAGAAAGAAATTTTTTTTTCTTTTGAAAAGTATTTCCGGCTTTGATCCTAGTGAGACCTTCATTGGTAGGTTCCTCCCATAAGTAGCAATGTATAAGACCATGTATCGCGGTACACTTTTTTTGACGATTTGGATCCTTGTAAGCACAGCATTGTCACGGGTCGGTGTCTAAGACCAAATGGCCCTTATGTGACAAAAACATAACTGTCTCGTTCGACTCATTGCATAACTTATTTGCAAATAGAAATTGAATTTAAAAATAAAATAAACAAAAAAAAACAAAATACTTAAACATTTTATAAATTCAATCGTTTTAGTATAGCAGCAAAAAATTAAATATTTCGTCTCTTGACGTAATTTGTTTTTCAAAGATTTTTTTAAATCAGCACTTATTTAGAAAATTACAAAATAATATAAAAGCAAAAAAAGTAGATTTTTTTGGCGATAAAATAAATAGCAAATAATACTTGCCACATAACGGTTGAAACCATTCTCATGATGACCTCGAAGACAGCCTTAAAAAAGTCTATAACAACTTGACCCTTTTCACCCAAAGTGCCAAGAAAGGTTCCAAAGACCAAGCAAAAGAAAACTATTCCTAAAGTATTGGTTCCACTTCTGTATTGGATAACCCTCATCAATTCCTCATCCGGTGGTCCTTCAGTACTTTCAAGTCGTTCTGAATAGTTTTGAAAGAATTGTTTCTTTGGAACATACACTGTATGAGCCTGAGGAAAAAAATTTTTTTTTTAATTCTCGAATATCTAAAAGAAATAATAAATTTTTTTTATTAGAACATATATTTTTCTTTTATTTCTCACCTGTTGAAAGGCTGCTTGAAAGAGATTTTCTGGAAACATATTTCTGAAATAAAAAAAATTCTAAATTATATATTTAGAAAAAAAAAATTTCAATTGAACGATTTTGCAAATAATGTTCAGTCACTTACGAATAAGATACTTGCGATCGATGATGTTGTGTCTATTTTTGTTACCTCTTTTAAAGCTTTAATTCAATATCATAAATAATTCCGCTTGAAAAATTCGAAAAACGCATAAATAAAGAGATGTGATCATTCTTCTCTTAACGGGAATATTTAATCAGATTTCTATCGCACGAAAATGGACAATTGAATTTTTGGTGTAGAACTAATTTACCCAGCCATTCATCTGGAAAGTGTCTCTCGAAATTTCCGGGCTATCATTTTGTTTCACGTTAAATGTTTTGTATACTTCAATTTTTTTTCGTATTTTTTGTCAACTCTTAATATTTATCAAAAATTGGAAGCAAGTTCATTATTTTATTTTGTTACCAATAATTATTTTATTTATATTTATCTAGAGAATATTGTCACGATGGTTCTAAGATTTTCATTCAGAAATCTTAGTGTTACAAATTTAAATATTAGCTAACTTTCAATTTTCCTAAATTCTCTTCTATCAATTTGTCAAAAAATATTTCCCTCTTGTTTTACAATTTCCCGAGAAATACTCTCTCAAACTCCATCAAAACTTTCTTATTACAAAACTTTTAATAACATTTAAAAAAAACGTGATTTCATAACATTTTTAATCCAGTTATAAATAGACTACTTGGCTCTTAATCTATCAGTGCAAAAAAAAGTCAAACTAAATCCAAGTTCACGAACGTGAAATTGCGCGCAATTAAACCAGAAAGTTTAAGGTCAAACGTTGGCGTGATTCGATTTTTTTCAAAAAAAGTTTTAGATTGTATCTTAAAATGTGCAGAGAGATAGCTGAGACTTCTTTCCTTAATGGAGTTGCAAAAAGAAAATAATTCTCTCTAATGTCTAATATTGACAATTTGGATGATAGAGAAAAAAAAATTACAGAGAAAATATTTTTTTTTTGGTTTCTTGAAATAGGGCCAATTTGGCACTGAAATGTGATCGTACCTTCCAAGATCTAAAAGACTGTCCAAAATGTTGACCGCCCTCGCTTGCGTTGAGGGTGCAATCGATTCTTTAAGACCAGGATCGCCAGGATGAATAAGAATCACAAGAATGACGCCAATAATTGCATTCAGTAATGACGTCAGAATAAAATACACGAGAGTTCGAACGGCAATCATTCCATTCATTCGAGCATTTAAACTCGCAGAACCTTAAATAAAAATTATTTACTTCATTATTCAATTATTATTCAATTATTTTTTATTCAATTACCTATTTTTTTACTTATGGGTTTTTTTATCTTTATTATATTTACTTATTTTTGTTTTGAAAAATTAAATATATTATAAAGACTAGAATTTATTACAATTTTTTTTCATTGAGTCCAAGTTTTTTTTGCACTGGTCCATGTAATTTGTATGAGGAAAATTGATTTTAAGATTGAAAATTTTGGCACAAAAGTTATTTTTTTTTATTCTAAGGACAAAAATAGGTCGAGTTTGAAAAAAAATATTGAATTTGCGTTTTAAAAATTTTTTAGTGTTGATTCTCTAAAGGGGTTGTTAGGTTTATATGAAAGATATATGATCGTACTTACCAGATATGAGACTGGCTATAACTAGAGGTAAAATCATCAATTTCAGTAACCTCATAAACAGCTCACCCGGATAACTAATTAACATCACAGCATCATCACCGAGGCCCAAAGGACGCAGGCCAAACCCTGTAAAATAAAACAAGAACGCAATTTTAATAATAATTTTTAATTTTTTTAATATTAATTATTTTTATACCTAATTAATTTAATAATATTTATTTTAACACCTAATTATTTTAATAATTATTATTTTAATACCGAAATATTTTAATATAATTATTATTTTAATATCCAATTATTTTAATAATTATTTTTTCAATATCTACTTATTTTAACAATTATTATTTTAATTTTAAAAATAATTAACTTAGATATAGAAATAATAAAATTTTATTGAGTTTGTAAATTAATTTTTTTTTTCAATAGAAATTTTTCTAACAATAGTTGCCTTAATAATTTGAATTAAATGGACTCTTGTTTTCATTCGAATTTCATTTTTCTAATTAAATTGAAAAAATATCAGCGAAACCAAATTAAAGACCAGAAATTTGCTAAATGCTACATTATTTAATGTACGTTAATTAACAACTGCGTATAATTTTTGTTACTTTCTTTATTAACTAAAACGAAAAAAAATAAAGAGAAAAGTCATTAAAGTAAAATGTTGAAAATAGAAAAGAAAATGGAATTTTTTAATATCTTAATAGTTTTCAAGGTAAAATGTCGTCAAAGAAGGTTTAAAAATCAAGGTTTCGCGTTTCAAACCAAGCGGAGAGGAATAGTTATAGTGCGCGAAAAGGAAATTGTATTCATACTTCATTATTTGTTTGAGATTTTTGATATAAAGCTGTCAGTCTTTGTCATTTTAAAGATTAATATTCTTGGACACGAGTGGACAAAAAAAAAATATTTAGAATAATTTTTGCATGACCTATTTTATGCCACGTTGACCATCTACTATCCTTCTTTTTATTTTAATGTCGAGGAAAAAAAATGATTTTCTATTTTAGAAAGAAGAGAAGAAAATAATGGATAGCATTTTTCTTTTTTTTGGTATAATTTTAGTTAAAAAGTCCATTTAAAGATACATTATGTGTGTATTACATAAAGCTTTCAGAGTTCGTAAAAAACATCTCGTTTCTAAAAAAAGCTTTTTTTTCATCACAAAAAAAGGAATGAGAATATCTCTCAAAGAGAAACGTTCTCTGTACTTTTATTATTTCCTCATTTTTATCATTATTATTATTATTATTATTATTGTTTTACTTTACTATTTTTGTTTCTTTACTTTTTCTTTTAGTTTACTATTCATATTAGTCTACTTTTTACTTTTTTATCTTTTTTTATATTACTGTATTTATAAAACTTTACTTTATATTAATTTACTTTTTATATTAGTTCACACGCCTCGGCATAAAAATATCCATAAGGAAAGTAAATTAAAAATCCGTTTATAGTAATAGTCAAACTTTTTAAATTTAAAGTCTGATTATAAATAATTATAGAATTACGAATATTAAAGAATATTTTAAGATTCAATATGGAGATGCAGGCTTCCACCTGCGAACGCCAAGGTCACCGCCAGATGGCAGTTTTCTTCTTGGAATTTATTTATTTCTTGGAATTTCTCCTGACACCTGGTGGCGACCTTGGCGTTCTCAAGTGGAGAGATTCAATCTCCATTTTATTCATCTGAAACTATTTTATAATTACAATTCATCTATATTACTTTATTCTTGATATTACTTAACTATTTATATTATTTTTCTTTTTATATTAATTTCATATTTCTCTTTTGAAAATTTTTAATTTTTAATATTCTTTATCACATGCACAAAAAATTAAAAATTAAAAATACTAAGTGTAGAGAAAATAATAATAATAATAAAGATTCAAAAATTAAAAAAAATAGTTAAAAATTACAAATAAGAAAAGCTGCAAGGGAAATAAAAAATTTAAAAAAATAATTAAAAATTAGAGAAAAAAATTAATGAATGGAATGTGAAAACAAATGAGTCAGTGTATTTTAGAGAATTATCGTGTTAGGCACTTGGAATCGTTTCGTGCTTGAGTAGTGATTGGTAATTAGATGAGAGACTTTGGAATGAAACCCTGAAAAATTGATTGACACCTTTTAAAGAGATAGCGTAACTGGGTTTTACGTAATCAAGACTAATTTCGAACTGGGTCATGCGTGTCGGAAAATTCACTAGTATTCTATATCGATATTGAATGTGTATTTATATATAACAATTTTTTTTCGATTGTAACTCGAAAAGGACGTTTGGGGTGATAGGAAACGGATATGTGCGGTATATAGATTGTTATAGTTGAGGGGTTTGAAACGGAAATTTAAAAGGGTATAATCGTTCGATCTTTTGCAAACGAAGGCCTTTGAATCGTCAGAAGCCTGTGATTAAGAAGCCCTCCTTTCACAATAGTTTTAAAGCCAACAAACTTTAACCTACGATCTTTAATGTTTTACGAAAGAGTTTTTTTTTCATTCAATCATTTTTTTTTCTTTACTACATTATATGACAGTATAATTTATTTTTATTTTTAAAATTTAAATTAATTAATTTTATTAAAATAAATAAATTAATTAACTTTATTAAAATAAATAAATTTTATTAAAATTAATTAAAAATTTAAAGAACATTTTTTGTCAGTGTATGTATAATTAATTTTTTCTTAATTTACTGCTACTTTGCTGGTTTCTGTAGATTTTCTAGTGAAAATAATATTTTTCCTTTTAACAAGAACTCATTAAAAATTTCATTAAATTCGGATCAGGTTAGCTAATAAAAAACTGCAAATGCTGTTCATAAATCGTGTAAATTCTCTGCAAAGTAAACTAGTGAGAGAAGAAGATAAATAAAAAATGTTAAATAAATAATAAATAAAATATATTTAAAAAAATATAATAAATAAAATAGTAGTAAATAAAAAAATATAATAAATACAGAAATACTTCCTCTATGAGGAGGTAATAAAACAATAGTTAAATAATAAAAAAATAAAAAAAAAGTAGAAAAGAAGGAATAAAAAATACGTAAAAAATATTATAAGAGAAACTTTTATGAAATTACCAACAATTAATAAATAGTAAATAAGAAATGGTAAATAGCAGAACAATTAAACACAAATAAAATATAATAATTAACCAATAAAAAATTAAATGAGTAAAAAAATAATAAATAGAAATTTTATAGAAATTAAAATAAATTACTTACATAAATAATAATATAGAAATTAATTAAATATGAAAGTAAATAAAAGTCAATGATTTGCAATTGTGTTGACAATGTTTGAATGCAACAATATTTATCTTTCTATTATTTTTTTTTATTTGTTTTGATCTCATTAAGTGTCTACTGTAGGCATTCATTATATTCACGTTTCGTTATTTTATGATGGTAATTATTATAGTTTTTTGTAATTGTGTACTTTACAAACTTTATTGCTGTTTATTTTTCTAATCTACGATGTTTACTTCAATTTATATATTCTGTCATATAAAAATTATATTGACAGCTTGTTGAATCAGTTAACAATATTAATAATATTAATAAATAATAAAATAAAAATTATAAAATTGATTTACTATTAAATTCTGCTATAAAAATTTCATTTGAAAAATTTAAGTGATTATATTGATCATTAATTTTTTTTTTATTTTTGGATTGCATTTTCAGTTTAGGATAGTCACGCGAGAAATGCTCTCTCATATTATAGGACTAAATTTATTAGTCATAAACGAATTTATTAGACATATTGAATATATGAGTTGAATATATGAGGATTATTTTTTTTAAATAACGATAGGTTGGGAATTTAGTGTTTTAACGAAGGTTAATTGGTTTGCCGAATATTGATGATTAGGAAAATTAAAAACGTACCATTCTTTCGGGTTAGTATATAGATACAGTACTTTTATGAATTTTAATTTTTTTAACCTTTCGTGAATTTTTTTCATTTTTATATTTGTTTGTTAATTTAAATTTATTATTTATTTATTTGCCATTTAGGCCCTTTTTGTATTTCTTCTTTAAAATAAAAAAATAATACTTTAAAAGAATTATGAATGGGAAAAAAGTTTTTAAATTTTTAGTACTGGATTTTTTTTGCAATGATACATAGTATTTTTTTATTTAAAAAGCATATTGTTAAAAATGTTAATGAAAATTAAAAAAAAGGAAAATTCAGTTCATTTTCATGCTGGGAATTAATTAATTTAATTACATAAATAAAATTACGGGTACGTGGATATGAATTTCATTAAAAGTGTACTTGAAATTTTAATTACGTAAATATGTAAAGAGGGAAAAATAATTCAATTTTAGATTTGAATTTAATAATATCTTGAATATTTTTAGAACCTACTTTTTCTATATTTTACATTTTTTCTTATAGAAATATTTTTTGAAACACGTAAATGTCAATAATTTTTAGTAATTTATTAAATTTTTATGCTTTTATTTATTTTTTTTATTTATTTTGAAATTTTTTTTTATTTACAACATTGAGTAATTTAATGCTTTTCAAAAATCGTCATGTATCACGATTTTTAAATTATTTTTATATACTTTTATGCAATTGTCAGCTATATTAGATTCGCCATTTTAAATTCTTTAAACGGGTGACTCAATGTCTAAACATCTATCAATTTTTAAGAAATTGTCGCACATATTTTAAGATATATTAAAGATCTGTCATTTTTAATTTTTTCAAAACGTTAATGTTAATCCAAGTACAAATTTTAGAGTCGATTTTCAAAAAAGCGTCGCCATATTGGATCCGCCATTTTCGATTTTTAAAAATAGTGACTCAATGTATAAAATTCTATCAATTTTCAAAAAATCGTTGCCATGTTCAATTTGTCCGGAACAGGCATTAAAAAAATGTCCAATATGCAATGAAACATTTGTAAAAATGTTTAAATGTTTTGTAATCTTCATCTTTATGAGATCCGCCATTTTGAATTTGAATATTCTGACATCAAATTCCTAATCAGAGACCCCAAAAACCTCTGAGTTCCAGGCAAATTATATCTATTTTTAAAAAAGTTGTCCGCCATATTGGATCCGCCATTTTGAATTTTGAAAAACTGACATCGAATTCGTAATTAGCGGGCAATCATGGTTGATGCTCAATTTTTTTAACCTCAGGAAAAAATTCAGGATTTAATTTCTAGTTGACATTTATATTTGCATAATTAATATATACAAATCTACTTTTTTATGTATTATAATTTATAATTTCATTCATGCATTTGAAAAAAATTTTTACTATGTTTTGTACCTATTTTAACGGGTATAGTTTCAATTTTTATTCTTCCGAATGAGTAAAATCCGTTAAAAGTTTATTAATTACTTATCAACTACTTTTAGTAAAAGATTTTGTATCATATAATTAAATTCCATCAATTTTCGTCATTAAAAAAATTATCAATTGACATTTTGGAAATATTTTGACGAGGAAAATAATGTATCTATATCAATAGAGCTCTTATATTGAAAAAAAAAAAACTGAAAACAGATTATTTCCTGTTTTAGAATTTTTTACTTTAAAGGATAAAATAAAAGTGTTCTTTAATGGAAAAAGAAGGGTTGCGAAGCTTTATTAATTTAAAAACATTGTATCTACTTTACAAAAGCATTTATTTACAAATGGTGGAGATTTTTATCATTTGTTAGTTTTTTGGTAAAGATTTTTCACTTCTTGGGATGATATAGGGGTGGTGCTTTTAATAGGGTTGTTTTTTGCTTGAATTATGGGATTTATATTTGTAAATAATAGATACAAATAATTTTTTAAAATTAGATTATTCGTTTGATTAATTTTTTTATGAATGGCTCTGTTTAGAAACATGATCAAAGAAAGGGATGATTTTACCCTTTTCCCCACTTGTATAGGGTGAATGAATATTTATTTCTTGTTCCTTATGAAGTAATGAGAGAATTGATATGCGAATTTTCCCTGTCGGATCGAAAAATCGACTATTTTTAACATTGTCCTTTGAAGAGTACATACTAAATGAAAAGAGATAAGAATGTTTGTTAATCAGATAGATTTTTAAAAATCCGTCGCCATATTGAATCCGACATTTTGAATGTCATTAGAAACGTATCTAAATTAAGAAAAAAGAAAAAGAGATAAGAAATATCTCACCAAGAATCACTCCAAGGAGGACTCCCGACAATGTAACCAATAACAGTAGGTTTTCCCGTATCCATTGGGTGGTATCTGCCGTCATCTTCCTGGGACCCTGCGAGGCGGAGACGTCCTGACCACCCATTTTGGCGAAGAGGTACTCAGAGAACCTGGAGGACGACTTGTCCTCCATCTCTTCACCAGGCGCCCTGGCGGAAGTCGAGGATCCCGCGGACCCTGGCTCCTCTTTTCCCGATTTTTTCCGGCGTACTGCTGGGCCCCGGCAGAACCACGATGACGAGAGGTTGCCGTTTTGGGGATCTTGTTGTAAATCCGCACGAAAGGACCAATCACGACTACCCACCAGGCGTCGGAGAAGCCTCACGGCCTTCCACGATCCTATTGACTCGATCGTCGTACCGGTTTATCGATCTCCCTACAAGGTTCAACACACGGGACTATCTAGTCCCAACAAATTTTTTTTTTTTGGGAATCGGCAAAAAAAAGAAAAAAAAAGTTTAGAAAAAAGAAAAATTCCTCCGAAAAAGGCAACTGGAGAATAAATCTCTCACTTCTCCCTAATTATTCGCGGACCCGAAAAATACACTTTTACTCGAGAGGACAAAATTTTTTGAGATGCGAGAATCCTGCCCAGGTAATCTCACAACCGGTCGAAGTACTTCACACCGGTGCTGAGAGAAAGAGATTCGTTGCGCAGGGTCAGTTACCCCTTTTGAGAAGATTTGTATATTTGGTCGTTAAATTTTGTCTAGTGGTAAAAATATTTAAATCTTTATTTCGTTTGTAAACACCGTTGACTCTTTTCTTTTGCAAATTCGTAAATTAACGTTCTTCCTTTTTTTGATGAATCGATGAGTTAAATATTTTTGATTAGCGAAAAAAAAATGTAATGAGGTTACGCGACGTGTACCTCGCGAAGGATGAGCCCTGACTGGCCATCAAGTGTCGGCCATTGCCGTATTGATTGGCAAAGCTGGCTCTGGCTCACTCTCAGATTTCAAGAAAGTTCTCTCGCATGCGCCAACTTGACAAACTCGGTCGCTATCAGAGAGAGAGGATACCCCAAGGTATAAACGTGTACCACGCATTGCATTCAACCAAAGTCGCTCGATATCGTTGATATCACAAGGACGAATCGACAATTCATAGAGAAACAGGAAATGGCAACTTGCATTTTGAGATGGGAACACATCAAGGGTAGAAATAATTGATAAAGTCTTTTCGTAGATAACAATTTTCCTCGTGTTCTATTGAATATTCTATTCGTCGTTTGCTTTCTTCTATTTACTATATTTCCTTCAGTTTAGAATTATTACAAATTTTATTCTTCTTGCAAAGTAAAATTAAAAATAACTTTACATGGAATTTTCTACTGAGCCGATGCTCTTAAAATTCAGTATCTATTAAGATACCAAATTTAAATTCAACGCCAAATTCAATACCATGTATTTAATGTATTTAGAAAGAATTAAAATCTAGGAAGAAGGGTTCGTCGATACAAATGGGCAAAAATTAAATATATTTGTGAAGCGGATTCGAAAACATAGTTACAATTGAGTATTGTTACAGTGCCATCAATCATTTTGCTCTTGTTTCTTGAAAATTTAACCCAATCGATGTATATTGTATAATCTGTGAGTTCAACAGTCGATAAAAGTAGGTCACTTGCTCCAAATATCTCAAGGACGGATGTAATCGATAAGATTTTATCAACCCCATCTTTTTCTGCGAAGGGTTCCACTATCTCTGGATAGAGGGAAACATACGCCACACTCGAAGCTTATAGACTATTCTATTCCACCCCCATAACATTTTAAAATCTAAAGTAATATTTTTAAAATTCAAAAATGGCGGATCTAAAATTGGCCTAGATGTCAATTTTTTCTTGAAAATAAAGAAAGAAGAATTTAATTTGTTAGGCTACTTTAGAAATTAACAATTTTTGGTAAATTTATTCTTTAAAACAGATTTTGTTTTAGTTTAAAGGTATTCAAATTTAAAGTATTTCAATTTGTTCGAAATGATTATTTTATTGACAGTTTGTGATTACATAACCTGTTATTTCTGTTTTAGGTTTGATGATACTCGGGAATTTAAGCTATTTACTTAAAAGAATTATTTATTTTCAAATTGATTATTTTATTGACAGTTTGTGATTACATAACCTGTTATTTTCCTTTTGGGTCTGATGATTCTTAGGAATTTAAACGATTTACTTAAAAGAATTATCTATTTTCGAATTGATTATTTTATTGACAGTTTGTGATTACATAACTTGTTATTTGCCTTTTGGGTTTGTAAATCCTCAGGAGAAAAAAAGCTAATGTTCACTTAAAAACATTTTGCTTTCTTCATTTTAAGTGCACACCATAATTTATTGTAATAAATTAAAAATTATTTTTGTTTTGAATTAAAACTGTAATTGAATGAAGATTTTTCAATTTTCGTCTCCTATAAGTTGGTGAACTTTGTGCTTCTCATTGGATTCAAATAAATAAAGTTAAGTTTTAATTTCCTGCAAAAATAACCTTTACCCTTTTCATCACTCTTGTTATATTTCAATCAGATGATTGTATTGCCTTCAGCCAGAGTGTGAGAGAAAAATGCGAGAAATTGAAGTTCGAAATTTTAAACCATGGGAAAAGTAGGAAAAAAAGAATTCCTGAATAGACCCCTTCGGCAAACAATTTTCACTAGCGGTGTATTGCGAAAGCAAATTGAAAATAAAAATTTTTTGATCTTGATTCAAAATCGATGGAGTGAGAGAAAAATAAAAAATAGGACAAGTGCACTCCTGTGCAAATGTATATCTATAAAATATATTTTCCAAAAGTCCCTAAACAAATTATATAAAAAAAATTATTCTGTCGAAAAAATAATTAAAACACATCGGAGAATAAAAATATTTTCAATAGAATTTTATACATTTTTTACGAAGTTGACTTTTTATCACAAAACCCTATTGTAATTTAAAATACGTTTTCCGAAAATAAAAGTTTGTATTGTTATAATAAATAAATAAACTCCATTTGTTAAAATATTATGTTTTACGGTATTTTAATTGTTAAGAAAATGGTTACCAAGCACTCCGTTTTATTGTTTATTTATTATTATTCAGTTTCAACCAATATCGTTCAAGTCTTTTGTTACCAGTTATAAAAAAATGTAAAAAGAGAGTAAAATTTTAAAAAAATTTAATTATTTCTTGGTAGATAAAATAATGTTGTTAGTGAATAAAATTCCGCTACTTCTGATTAAACTTCTTGCAGAGTGAATTTTTCCATATTCAGTTAGTTTGTGATAATTTCTAACAAATTTTAAAATTTATACTCTCAGGTTTCTCTTTTTATCGAGTTTTCATGTTTGCACTATAAACATATAATTTTTATTATACTTTTATTTATGAATTTTAATTTGCTTTTTAACTTAACCTATTTATATCACGATTTTTATTATTATTAATTTTTTCCGATTAATTTTATTACTGAATTTTAATTTTATTTAGTTTATCCATGTATGAATGTTGTTGAATGAATTTTTAAATTTCGTCCTAGATGCCAAATTTTTTTGTGGAAGTAAAGAGAGTAGAAATTAATTTGTAGGGTAAATTTAGAAATTAACCATTTTTTATTGTTTCTTAGGAGTGGTAAACTATTTGTGATTACATAACCTGTTATTTCCCTTTTGGCTTTGATAATTCTCGGGAATTTAAGCTATTTACTGAAAATAATTATTTATTTTCGAATTGATTATTTTATTGACAGTTTGTGGTTACATAACCTGTTATTTGCCTTTGGGTTTGATGCTTCTCAGGAATTTAAGCTATTTACTGAAAATAATTATTTATTTTCGAATTGTTTATTTTATTGACAGTTTGTGATTACATAACTTGTTGTTTGCGTTTTGGGTTTGATGTTCCCCATGAAATATGATTAACATCGACTATACTGACGAAGCACCAAATCTAGAATGATGACGTGTTGTACAGAAGTAAGAGCGTCGATTTTTAAAGACAGTCGCGCCCCTAGTGGTCGATTTGTGGACTATCTTTACGAAATCGACGGTCGATAATACATATTTATCGCTGTAGTGTTTTTTTGATTATTTTTTTATATATTAACCTAAATTTTATTATTCTGGAAAATTTTACCCTCCCACAATATCTAGATTAATAGAATTGATTCACAAAATGAATTTCGCGGAAACAAGTATGCCATTGAATAATGTAGGGGTGTCTTGTAACAGGAGAGAATACGAGTTTGAGAAATCTGATTCCTCCCGTAAATAATTGACAAAGAAGAATTAGTATTAGGTCGAGTTCTCAATGTACCTACGTTGTGTAAGTTATGTCACGCCTGAGAAATGAATAGCGCAGTACTACTAATCATGATTGTTTCACATTGACCTCTTTCAATTTTAATATGTTACCGGAGTTTCAAAGTTATGGTTTTTTTAAATCAAAATAATAAATATTATTTATATTAATATTAATATTATTATAAATATTAGAAAAATAACTAAAACGATTCCTTTTTTTAAATTGGGATCAGAAATATTCTCATTTAAAATAAAATCAATAATTAATTTTATTACTCGAATTTTCATCAAATTAGTTCCAAGTCTTCTAATTTCTGTAAATTTCTAGTGTAGAGAGAAAATATGTCGAGTGAATAATTTTTGACGAGAGAGATTTCTCTTTAATCATTTAACAAACAGGTTGTTTCTCGGTTTACATGTGACCCAAAATTAATCAAATGTTGAGGAATTTTGTCCTAATAACTCGGGAGATTTGTGATGAGGGACCAACGACATTGATTTCCTCTTGGTTCTTAATGTCACGTTGGAATCTCAAGGGCCGATCTCCAGAGGAAATTACGTAAAGGCACAGATGCAATTCGTATTCCCGACGCAAATGGGATGGCTTTGAATCTGTTTCCCTTCAATCCCATACTCCAAATCAAAATCTCAAGGACGGCGCTCTTCTTCTGCAAGAAGTAATAAAATAACAGTTATGTAATTGAAATTTCTTGCTTAAAACGAAAAAAATATTTATTGGTGTTTCTAAACATATTTCGAAAAATAATTTTACTATTTAAAGATTTCTAACTAAAGTTTTATTATTTGTTTTACTATTTACTTTTTTATTAAGTTCTGCATCAAATGCTTAGTAAACGTTAAAATCGAAATTAACTGAAAAGTAATTAAGAATTTTTAATTTTAATAATTATGTAAAATAATTTTTTTTCGCAAGGTGGAAATGAATTTTTTTCTAGGTAATTAGCTTTTATGAATACGTTAAATAGAGCATGTTATCAAGAAACGTAATTATAATTTACAATCTTACTCTCTAGAAACGAGCACTTTAATATAGGCAAATTTACGAAGTCTTAAGATTTCAAGCTTTTATATAATTAACTCTCTATGTAAAAGTCTCCTTCAAAATTGACTTTGAAGAACCATTGGAAATAATTTAAATTATTGACTCAAAATGGAATTAATTATTTATGAGAAAATTAGCAAATGAAATAGAAAAAACAAGTTCAATAGGGAAACGTAAATAATTATTATAATTCTGTATTTCTTTTGATATCTTTTGATATTTTATAATATAATTGTGAATATATTCAACGTTTTTTAATTCCTTCTTGTCGATAACGAAAATCATTTAAAAGCAGATAAAGAAGTTGCTTGATAGATTAGCATAATTTATGAAACGTCTGTCAACCGTGCTGGAGATGTTGAATTGGAAATTTTTAAATTGACGACAAATGTTACGGACAGTTAATCTTTAAAATAATCTTCGAGAACGATAAGGTAAATTGATGAGCAACGTGCTTTTAATTCTAGTGCTTTAGAAATAGGGCTTTATCTAAATTTAACAGGGTAACATTAAAGGTTTAAATAAATATGGGTATTGGTCCTCCAAAATTATTATTTATCGTAGG